GTTACTGTTTCGACGTTGAAACAACGTTGAAATTAGGTTGCCAATCTCGTCAACCATAATTCAACGTTGAATCCACGTTAAAACAACGTTGCATGAGATTGGTTCACAAATCGACGTCGTACATTTAACCATGAATGAACGGTAATTCCACGTCTGTTGGCTGCTGTTGAACCAATGTTTGTAAAACAACGTCAGAGCAACGTAGATATTAGGTTATCGACGTCGCAACCTTTTTTCTACCAAATTTCAACCTTGAAACAACGTCGTGTGCCCGGTGGGTCCAAGGTCAAGTAATGTACTGTACATGAATTGTGAAAATCTGAATTACTCGATAATCTAAATTGGAAACCTCTCGAAGAAAGACGAAATTATTTTAATCTATTTTCATCTATAAAATTCAGAATGGCCACACCGCACCCAGTCTTAAAGAAGCATTTCAATTTAATAATGAAAGACATAATACATACAATCTTAGAAATAGCGATACTGATTTAGCACCACCTATGCCGAAAGAAGAATTCGGCAAGAGGTGCTTCAGTTATAACGGTGACTTGCATTGGAATACACTTTCCCATGAGGCAAAAATTGCAGAGTCCTGAAGCTCTTTGAAATCAATATTAAAACAAAAAATGAGTTGAAACTTGTTATATTTTTGTATTTCTTGTAATTAAAATAGGTAAATTCACTCCCCTCATGGAAACCAGCCTCCCAATGGTTGTCGAGGCTAGCGTGGTTTAAATAAAGTTTTGTATGTATGTATGTGTGTATGTATGTATGTATGTATGTGTGTATGTATGTATGTATGTATGTGTGTGTGTATGTATGTATGTATGTATGTAGTCCAATGTGAGGATCGAAACCACAATCTCAGTGGTTTCGACGCTTGCTCTGACGATTGCCACTGAGGCCCCTTAGTACGAATAAAGAAGCAGTAGTACTGAAGAATATATTTACAAGTGGACTTTTATTTTATCAAATTTTGTGAGAGGAAACTTTTCTCTTAGAACAAGCAAGAGATTGACTGTCACTACTTTCGTTTGCTAAATAATTCCAAACAAATACCCCATCAAATAGGGAGCCTCTTTCAAATGTTATTTTACTGTGATTTTTTTCCTGAGTGAGAGCTTGTAGGAAAAAAAAACATTTCGAAGTATAAAGTAAATCTAAGGGGAAAATAAGAGCGAGACTTTTGCGTAAAAATATGACGAATTCAAGCTTCTTTCAAATGTTATTTCGGAATACAAAGTCGCCATGACATTATACAGTAGATCAGCGTTGTGTTATTGGCGTGGGTGGATCACACATGTTATTCATTTACGTCATCGTTTTCAAAACGTTCCGCTTTACAATAATGCGTCCTCACGTATCCAGATTCGTTGCGTTTTCAAAAGTTTCCACTCCCAAGACCGTTGTCAAAAGTTTCCGCTTTCAGTGTACGTTTTCGCCGGAAATACATGTGCGGACGGAAAGGCGTATCCGCGCTACAAATTGTTTGTGGACAAAAACGAATGCGGATACGCGTGGGCGGGTCCTTCCGGGCCAAGGAGATACTGTATCAACAAATTTAAGCAAGACTTGAGCACGAAGGCCTCTAGTGCGCGGTTTAAATTTTAACATAGAAAAACAGTCTTTAATTCTACATTTCAAAACTACTGTATGAACTACCGAATAATGTTTTCAGATATGAAAATTTCAAGCCCTCGGTTCCATTTCTCGAAGCAATGATTATATGAGTCACGATTTAGGAACAGTAACTATTTTGAATCTTTTAGGGTTGGCATTAGGGTTTGGATGGGGATAGGAATGCGTGTATCAAAGGGCCATTCGTTTTCCGACCCGTCTAGAAAAACGAAAATCAATCCTTGATTTCCGTTGTTCGTTTTTCAATTTTGAAAACTAGCTTGGAAAAGAAAATTAGCATATACCATATACCTTCAATTTATCAAAGGGCCAACTGTCTCCTAAATTCGTTTTCAGATTCTTTAAAGACGGAAAACGGATTTTGAAACAAATTTTGTTTTCCATTTTCCATATAAGAAATTACGAATGACACAAACTTCGTTCGGAATATTTTCGGGTGTAGGAAGTTGAAGATCGACCCCCCCGGTTATTTTTTCATAGCAATTTAACATGGCTGCTCTGGAAGACTGACGAAGGTTTTATAACAGAGAAGGTTTTGTCGAAGAAAGGAAACAGCATAGAAGATTTAGCGGATGTTTTGCAAACAACGTATCCAGAGCAGCGAGGTTTCAGTTCTAGAAGTGTCAAACGTTTTTGTAGAGAAACTGAAGGGATTAAACGTGGAGGAATCGTCTCAAATGTACACTTGAATCCTTCACTCGAAACGCGTACATGGATATTCTGCTTGCATTTCATGATAGTTGTATCCCTATCAATCATCATAACATTGTAGAAAAAAAAATTAATTAGAATCTCATAAAAGTATTACATGTCATCCTCGTTCTATCCTGGGTTGGCGAGCCTCCTGTGATAAAGGACACGACGAGGAGGCTCTGGTCACACGAGCATCCAGCCTCACTTTGGTGAGTTCAATATTTGAACTCTGTTTGTGATTGGTCAAAATTCATGTGAGTGTGTTTTCATTGGTTAACCGACGTTCATCGGTTAACCAATGAAACGACTCACATAAATTAAGACCAATCACAAACAGAGTTCAAATATTGAACTCGGCAAAGTGAGGCTGGATGCTCGTGTAACCAGAGCCTCCTCGTCGTGTCCTCACTTCTATCACAAGAGGCTCTGGCACCCAGGGTATCCTCGTTCTGTTTAGAACGGCAAATCACAGATTATCAGGTCTGGTATACAACGGCTACATTTCCGAAGCTGGGACAACGGTTATTTTAAATTTCTCTACCATAAATCCTTAACCTCGATCCTTAAACCGTCTTAATTGCATAGAAGACAGGTTTTGTTACAATCGTTTAGTTCAACGAGTTAGTTTGCAGCCCTGGGGCCGGTTGTATCAAGCCCGTTTAGCTTAAACAGTGGTTAAGCTCAAAATAGAAAGCAAGTCTATAGATTCATTCAACAACCAAACTAAACGTTTTGAACTTTAATAGAACGATAATGTTTGCAACTACATATTCAGTGCAGAATATTTAAGTTGACTGATTCACGAGAGAGAAAAGAGTGTTATTTTATTTTGACTTATCCACCGTTTAAGCTAAACGGGCTTGATACAACCGGCCCCTGGTAGAGTTGCCGTCCTATATGCTCTCGAGGTCGCAATTTGTGACGTAATTAACCAAAGTGGATACAAGACTTAAACGCGATTTCTAGTGCGTTTTTCGTCTTCTGACGCATGTGAAGGAGTGGATTAGTTATAAATGCTCAGATGAAGGAACATGTACTCAGAACATTCATAACACATCTACTCGTTCCCATCCATCAGAAGAAGAAAATCGCGCTAGAAGTCGCAGCAAAAATTGCCAGTGTAAATGGGCCATTTAGACGTAGCCGTCTCCAACGGGGCAACATACAGATTATCACGTCTTGTATACAACCATATAGTTAATAGAAGAGATGGTTTGGAAACTCATTAGAATAACAATATAACTCATTATCTATGTTAGTCAACGTTTATTCATAAATCTGGTCGTTCACCGTCACGTGCGTATTGTATTTTTGGTCAACTAACCAACAGTATAGTTATATCCGTGACTCGAACACTATGTATAGAATAGGTTAAATTGGAATTCCTATTGGTGGACTTCGCAAAAATACAATACATACGTGACGGTGAACGGTCAGATTTATGTATATAACGTTGGCTAACATATATACTGAATTATATTGTTATTCTAATGAGTTTCCAATCCATCTATTCTATACAGGGTGAGTAAAAAAACTGATACCTTCGCACCTAATTTGAATAACAAAGGTGTCAGTTTATTTTACTCATTGTGTCATAATACAACGCTTAATTTCAAGCTGGGCCCGACTACTACTTACTTAATTGGGTTAAAACTCTTCTCCGGATCATTGACCCTGTGTCAACCTCAATCCTTAAACTCTGTTATTTTTCATACCATGCATGATAATAGACAATAATTTGCATGGTTCAACGAGTTCATTTGCCGTCGCTGTCTTATTTCTGTCCCATATATATGCTTATAAGGTCGCTAATGGTCATGCACGTGATTACACATTCATTCACTTATATGGAGACTAGACTAACGAAACATGCATGTTTGTCTGTATATACGCCGTATAAACTCATAAACTTTATTGGGCCATATGCATGCCAAAACAAATTGACAATTTTTCCGTGTACGTGTGTGTCAGGTTAATAAATTATGTTATAGATATTGGACTACACTTCGAAAGAGGAAGTCGTTTTTTTGCGTACTCTCAACTTAACTCGAAACGAAATTCGTCAAGAAAGTCCGTTTAACAGACGAAGATGTAACAAGTGATAAAAAATCGTATCGTAAACATTTCACTATTGCCGAATCGTGAACATTTTATCATTGCCGAATCGTGGATCCTTAAGACCCTCGTAAAGTACGTCTAATAGCCAGTCGTCAGAGGATCCGACAACAATATGGCACCCCTTCTGTAAAATTAATTTATTTAGTGATGGAATGGTTTGATGAGGAGTTCTCAAAAATCTGAATTTGGCTACAAGTTTATCAAAAAGGTGGCATAGCTATATATCAAGGTAAGTAAAGTCATGAAAGCTATATGTAAACTTCAAGTTATTTGACTTTGTATGCTTGTCATGACATGGATAGATAATAATAATATAATATTTAATTACATCACACCATTATGGGTACATAGGATACTTAATTTATAGAATCATTCATCTATATATAAATATAAACCAATTACTGTAAAATCAGCGAAAACCTTGGTTAAATCATATACATATTTGTCTGTATATTTTGTTGTGTATTCGTCGTTCATAGACGGACAATATACAAAAAGATCGTTTCAAGTTCCTAGCGAATGGATTCAATTAGCTACTATTAATTTCTGATAATTATTTCAAGAAATTTTCTCGAAGATATATATACTAACTTGTCATTATTACAACATGAAAAGTGTAATGATATTCGTCGCCTACATCATTTGATTCAGTTACACATAGGACATACACCGATAGTATCATACACGTAAGTTATGAATTGCTTTGGTTCGTGTAATATTACACCACGCTTATAGGCTATTTCTACTTAGCATTGACGAAGATACCAATTTACGGTTCGAAAGCTTTGCAAAAATGAATACGTGGACGTGTTTTCCACCAACATGAAATTAAATCTTATGTAAACTTTTTCCTATCAAAACATACCCTGATACGCGCTAGGGAAATTTATTAAAGAAATCAAACCGTTGTATGCCAACTAGTGACAACAGAAGAATATTTATATAGCAACGACTATATCCGCCTGGTAGTCTTCACAAATCACCGTTCAACAAGAACGTCAATTCCGGCCTCGCCACTTGAACACCAACTCTTTGTAACCCGTATATTTAGAAGTAACCAGAAAACTCAGTGGTACAATAAGACTACTCTCTACCAAGTTTGAGGCCTGTTAATTGTTCCTATAGCCATTTCTGATAATTTAAACCTTAACATAGTATTATTTATAGCCAAGAGAAATTTATTTATTTACACGGTTTACAGGGGGGCTTTAACCCTAACACCCTTTAGAATGTTTTGAATCGTATCTAAGACATGATATCAATGTGATTACCAAACAATACTGCAACTCAATCGCCACAGCTGGGGTCCTAACAGGATCACAAATGGCCTAAAATATGCAAGAATTCGAAACAAACAGGGAAGTTGACTGCCAAAAATATGTATAAATTGAGATTACGGTGTTTACGTATCTATAGAAATTAATCAAAGGCTAGGCATTAGTATGTTGTGGTGTAGGAAGAGTTCAATAATATACTTGCATCGTAAGCAGGAAAGAAACGACGTCTTATAGCTAAGGTAAGGTTTAATTATTAACAAATCATTGCTATATTATACCATTTATTTAGAAATTCCTATAGAGTAATATAGGCACTTAATAGGCCTATAGACTTCTTTATAAATTGCGTCAAATTGATTCGAGTTTAACGCTGTATATATATGCTCTGACAACCAAATATGGGAACGACCATGTTTTTTATATGACATTTATAACCCGAATTACTCGAGTCTCGGTCGAACGAATTAGATAAGAGTTGGCTGTCACGAATTATTACAGGGGACAGTTTGGGTCCTAGATCAACAAAATAAAGGTATGACAAGTGTTCCAACGACGTTTTAACTTAAATAAAATACATGATAGTGTTGGGAACGTATTAAGAACAGCTAACCAATGTCGCGTGACATCCTTGTTTGATCTGGCTTATAGCGAACTCATTTCGTCAGTGACAGTGCATGCTATTAATGTCTAGACAAGTAGCTTAGTACCAGTGTTGTATAGGACTCGAGTCTGGACTTGGACTCGCGAGTCCGCGGACTCGAGGGTATAACTCGGACATGAACACATCGGACTTGGACTCGATTGATATCAAAGAACTCCGACTTGGACTCGACACCTCTGGACTTGGGAATTTAGGTCAAGTCCTGTTCGAGTCCACCATTTAAATTTCCTCGTTGATACACTCATTGCTTCGTTAAAATTACGCAGGCCTCTATTACCACTTGGCATTGAAACAGCACAAATTGCTCTGTCAGACTGTCAGTACGCAATCCAAGCTTAATTTTTTAAAGATCTTTTTCGCGACAAGAATAAATACCAACATGGAAACACTATATAGGCTACGTGATTTGTTTTTGCGGCAAAATTTTGCGACAACATTCGACGTAACGTGAATAACTCACTGACCAGTTGAGAGGTCAGGTACGACCTTTTAATTATTAATCAATGCTTTTTTCAATATAGATCTATTTACGGAGTTCAATACCTTAAATGATTAAGTGTTCCATTTATTTTATTAGGACACATGCATATACACGGAATGTGCTTTGTACTGTAAATCTTTTAAACTTCAAATTGAATATCACTATAGTATAGTCGGATCTGTTTGCCACCACCATATATTACTTTGGTTACATCGTGACTTCTGCAAAAATAGCCTACATTAAGTGCCTGTGGATTGTGGAAATATGATTAATATATACTTTATTATTTTGGACTTGACTACAACACTCATGGTAACTACTAGTCATTTATAACTGTGTCTTGGAAATTGTAATTAATTGGTCAGTTCAGTATAGCACCAAATATATAATAAAATAGTGATAAGTTTGATAATATATATATATATATATATATATATATATATATATATATATATATATATATATATATATATATATATGGCATCATAGAAACACAAACTCGAACGTCGAGTCAGAAATAATGTTATTGAAACTTTGTAGAGATGACTTTATAGAGTTGGTAAATATTTCTTTTAAATTGCTAACGAATTTAATTGATTCAAGAATATAAACACTATTTGAATAAAGAATCTTTGATAATCAAAATTGAACAAGACTGATACATTTATATAAAAAATTATTAAATTCGAAGAATTCCATTATCCGAATTTCATTCACTCAAATTGCCACTCAATAAATTAATTTAATGGTAACATAAGCTCCAACACTGATGAATACGACGGACTAATTAGAAACGTGGTCGAAAATGCCATTGAT